AACCTCTCGGTGTAATAGATACTTGTCGGGAGTGCCATTACCTGTGTTGCGAATCGAGAAAAATTCTTCTAAGCGTATTCACTTTTTGGTGACTTTTTAAAACATACAAATACAGTAAAATTGTTCTTAGACTATATAAATCTACTCCTGCATGCCAGTATTTTTTCAAATTTCAACTTCTTGTTAAATCTTACCAATTAATAATGCATGTATAACGATTATTTATTTATAAAATTCAAGTTAATTTATAAATTTTAAGAAAATAGTCCACGTCTAAGAATGGATAAACAAGAGATGAAACTTATAATGTAACTAATTAACAACAAATTTTATTACATATTTATTTTTCAAAAGTAAATTTACAGCCTATATACGTCTCACTGCTGAGCACAGGTCTCACCTAATTTCTGAGAAGGTTTTAGGGCAAGGAAATGTCAGCTGCGTCGCCGTAATGCGTATTGGCGAAATTCATATATTTTCGAAATATTTTGTTTTTTATTTTTGAACATTTTATTGTTTTATTTTTTATAATTTTGATGTATTGTTTTATTCCTATAACTACCACCTTTATTCAGTATATTATTTATGTTACGCACAGGCCCATTAAATATAAGATTGTAATACTCGAAAAGGGTGATTAACTTGTAAGACATGTCTCATTATAAAATAACATCACATGTTTAATACTACTTAACTTACAATAAATTTTCGAAATTTTAATCAGTAATTTTGCCAGAACATAAACCATCGCGTTATAACAAAAGACGCTATGTTGTATTGGCATGCTGACCTTATTAACTCCTTTTTCGTACAATCCAGGTCAACGAACACATCCCTCATTTTCCTTAAACAGGAAACCTTTGACTGTGTTACTTCGATAAAATGGTAGACAATATGTATTTACGCGAATTTCGATGAAGTAAATAACTTTTTGATAAAAAAGTAATGTATAAGATTTTGCTAGCAGTTGAATTAACTGAACGGAATGAAGACACTCCCAACGTGATGCCGTCACAGCCTATTAAAGGCCACTGTTGAACACAGGCCCCACATGTTGCCTCATAGAGGGGATATTTGCCACAGCTGCCACAGTTGCAAGCGGGTTGCCGCCGCAGTTTTTTATTTTTAGTCGTTCCTAGCAAGACGCTGCTGCCCAGCTCCTGATGTGTTTCTATCTGTTGCCTCACGTCACCCACGGGATATGTTTTTGTCCTACAAGGTCACAACGCGGTTATTTTAAATAGTTAGATAATTTTAAAATATACTTTTTGGATTGGGATATCGATGACAATTCGTTGAAGACTGCTGGTGGTCGCTGAGCCGAGGCTCGCCTCGACACATCAAACTCAACATTCCTTTAGCTTAACAACGGTCTCGTGAGTCAGCGAGATTAGCAATTAGAACAGACATCCAGCACTAATGTATATGTATATATAAGATGGAGTTATATTTAACGTTAGGGTGATAAAGAAATAAGGTTGTGCTTGGACATTAGGAAAGCCCCCTTGTCCGAACAGGTTCCCACCTTGTCGTGGTGGGGGTCTTAGTAGCCGTGGCTTGGTCACCCGCGGTGTACAAAGTGGAACCCACTTGGCTAGCCCGAGGTGGCCACTTCGAGTGGGCTTAACGAGCCCACGATGTGTGGTAGTGGGTTGTAACGAGAGGAGTGTCCTCTCCCTCCCCTACCGCTGCAGCCGAAGTGAAGTGACGGAGGAAGAGTTGGTATGGCAATGCTCTACTTGCCCTATCCTCCGCAACTCAGGTGGGCCCGCACCGTTGATGCGGTGGTGGTGAGGATGCGGGGGGCAGACAGGTATCGGTATTGCGAAGCGCCACTCTTCCTACCCTTCGCAGCTGAATCTTGTTTGGCGGCGGAGCCTTAGATCAGATTCACCACACTATGGTCCAGAAGGCTAGTGCTTATGCAGCTGTTATGTAAAGATGGAGGTCACGAAGGAAGGTGCACCGTGTATTCTGGTGAGCCTAACCTGAGAAGGAGATGGGGAAGGAGTAGTCATCTTTCGAGGAGGGGCCGCTATGGGGCGGCCTGCACTGATGAGGCACAAATGTTTGCGCAAATACTGCCGTGGCCTCGCAAATATGCGACAATGATGGAACACAATGGGGTTTTCGTCTTAACCTCAGTGATGCAGATATGCGTACGCATATTGTCGTGTAAAAAATTACATTTGGACAGTTACAGCTAATAAACCTTAGACAGCTAGTGGATTCTAAATAGCATGATAATAATGCTGCTATGACTCTCCTCTCTGTAATTATCTTTTCATGTAATGTCTTTTTGCACTAGTTTTGAAACTATATTATACAGGGCAATGAGATATTTTATCAGTTAAACCTGCGCATTTGTCTTAAAAAGTTTATTACGCGAACCGCCCGATTACGAGTTCTGTACCTAAAATAGATGATTGCCGTTACTCAGGGCCATAATACAGATATTATGATCCTGAGTAACGGCAATCGTCTATTTTAGGTGGGTCAGAATCGTACCAAATGGAAGTATGTGGTCTCTGCCTACCCCTTTGGGTGACGGTCGTGATTTTTGATGTATGTATGTATAGGTAAAGCTATTCCGCGGTATAAATTTCGAGTAAGGTCGTGTATCGCTTTTCTGTACAACCTAACACTTGGAATAAATACGTGAATAAATACGCGAATAGTAGCTTAGTAAAATTTTATTATTTTCAGAACAATATATGGGGGAGGTTTATGTTGTGCAGTTGACTATGATGATTGTGATAATAATGATTATACAGTAACCCTGATATTATGAGATAAGTCCTTGTTCTAACACAGTAACTTATAAGATCCCAAAGTTACATAATATAATCAATAGAAACAAAATGATGGATTTATCTACTTTAAAATTAATGAATAGCCTGCCAATTACGATGTATATTTGGATTATAGATTTTTGTCTGTAAATTGGCGTAAATTATAACATTAATAAGACCCTAAATCTAGCCTAAATTGAATTAAAAGTTTTGACTATTACTTTAGGGCTTGGGTCACTCAACTTTAATTACTTAACTTGCTAAGTTATTAAATTAAGCTCACAATACTTAATGAATTGTATCGCATTAAAGTGAGACAACAAAGCAAGGACGCAAGAGATGGCGAATCGTTGTACAGCCGCTTGGTGACAATGGCCAACTTCGTAAAACTTTTGCAGACTGAACTAACAGTGAATTTGCTTAAACTCATGCCAAAGTCCGAAATAGCTTGTTATATGCTTTAAAATTCATTTTAGCCTTCGTAAAAGAGTAAAAATACTTTTAAAAAATAATGAATGAATGAATAGCAAAAACTACAAGTAAACAAAATAGTTACAAATATTCTTGATTACAAATCATATCTTTTAAGTGGTAGAGGTATTAATATAATAATGCCCTCCATACCGAATTTCGGCCACCGCAGCCTGTCTCAACGGAGGTTAGCCATCGACGCAGGACAGGATTATAGTGCCCAAGTGTATGCGCAAGCACAGGTGCACTCTGTATTCCCTCACTCTCATAATCCGATGGGACGGTAAACCGACACGACCGGAGAGAGATCAGACGCAGGACCAACGGCTTTACGTGCTTTCCGAGACACGGGGGTGAGACACCGCCAACTTCGTGACTACGGGCAGCTACTGCGAATTTCTTGATGGAAAAAACTCACTAATTGATTTTTGGCCCGACCCGGGATTCGAACCCGCACTACTACAACCACTAGACCAACGAAGCAGTCATTGTTATTATAGCAAGCAGGTATTATTATAGCTGCAGCATGAAGGGATCGAATTGAACAAGAAAGGACTACGCTCGAGCAAAGCACCAACATAACGTAATAATAATAATGCTGTATTTCGAAAACTGAGTGGTAAGAACTGAAAATTACTTTACCGTTGCAGCCTATTAATGTTCACTACTGAACTGTCGCTTCCCTCATAGATTGCTTCACAGGGGAGACATGCCACAGCTGCCACGCTTGGCAAGCGGGTTGGTAACCGCAGTCTATTAATTTTAGTCTGTATTAGGCAGACGGTGCTGACCATCTCCTGATTTGTTTCCCTCCGTCGCCTCTCACGACGCCCACGGGATCATATGGGCTAGTGGATATTCTCACACCGCCACTACACTATTTCACCACGTTCTTCTTAACTCACTGTCATGTATACCCGTTCCAATTTATCCATTGAATTTAAACTAATTCCCCGATGAGCTAAAGACACGATATTTTGATAGTAGTCCAGAATCGAGTGATAGTGTAGGATTATGGAAAAGAAGTGGTATATTAAAATAATTATTATTTCTTGGTAAAGACACTTTCCATCTTAGTCCTCAACAACGCATCTGCTCTCATGTGGATTTTTTGGTAGACGTAAATGTGATCGTGCCGCAGCATTCCGATTAGTCAACTAGTTCAACAGTCTAACTGGCAATTGTACAGTACGGTGCAGGGCGAACGGGAGCGGAGTGCTCCACAGCAGCCCATAGGCCCTATTCAGTGCGACGCGGACCGTCCGCACGCGGATGAGGTTTTGCGTCCGTCGCGGATAAATTCGTCGTTCAGTGCGATGCGGATCGTGATCGAGAGTGGTACAGTGTCATGGATAAAACTTTGAATTTTGTGATTGCGGCCTATTTATTAAACAACAGAAGAAGAAGACGCCATAGTAGAAGATTTAATGTGCATCCACTGGTTGAGAAAAGACTTCTTAAAGGAGAATTTGTATCCTTGTTTTCGGACTTGCGGGATGACGAAATGAAATTCTTCAAATATTTCAAGATGTCCATTAGGACATTTGAGGAGTTGCATGCGAAACTAGAGCCACCTTTAATGCGTTGCGATATATACAAGAAACCTATATGTTCGCGGGAGAGATTGGCTGTAACAATTAGGTAACTAGGTACTTAAATTTAAAAGTTAAATAAATGAAACAATTTTTTTAATTAAAAAAATTATATAATCAATTTAAAATGTAATTATGTAATTAATTACAATGCAGTGTGATCACCGTGTTGCCAGCTTTCTAAAGACTCGTCCACATCACTCCCTGATAAGTGAGGTAAATCGTTGGTAGCGGTTGATGCAGATGTGCTGGGCGAGTTCATAGCTGGACCTCTAATTTCCATAGCTAGCTCCAGTATTCTAGTTCGGAATAACAATTTTTTATAATTATCGAAATCGTTTATAATGGGTGCTAGAGAATTAAAAAAACTGCAGTCATCGTCTTTAAGAGCCGTAGACGACGCAAAGTTTGTGGTGGAAGTGTCATTCTTTTCTAATATTTTCAATAATTGTGACTCAAAGTCTGTCATACATCTCTTTTTTTTTCTCTGCCACGGTTTTGGAGAAGCCAGCACAGGTGTCTGAAATGTTTCTTCTGTTGATGGCAAGTCCGGGGTCGCGGTAATAGGTAAAATACTTTGCGAGTTTTGCGATGACGTTGAAGCAACATTTTGGGAGGTCTGCGACGATGATTAAAGCCATACTTTCATGTGTGGGTTCAAAGTCCTTTGTGTCTTCCAAAAACGTCATTATATCGAAAAAAATATACTTCTTTTTGACACCCCCTGCAGAACCGGACTTCGATGTCTTAAGATTTGCTCTACACTTCATGTATGCATCACGGGCGGTCTTCCATCTTAACTGAACAGCTTTTTCTGTAAATTAAATAATATAAATAATAAAACAACATATGCTAGTAACTTTACTTATTTATTAACACACTTTTTTTTGTGGCAGGTACCTGACTACTGGGTCAAGAATGTCTGATTTGCATTTAAGTTATCGATTGGGGCTATCTACAATTAAATACATTATTGAAAAAGTATGCTCATTAATATGGGAAATTTTGAAAAACGAATGTCTGCCTGAACCTGATCCAAATTTTTGGAATAACATAGCACTTGGCTTTGAAAGGGATGCCAATTTTCCCAATTGCGTAGGCGCCCTTGACAGAAAGCGTACCAGAATCACGTGCCCAAAAGAAAGTGGATCCGTATTTTTCAACCATAAGCAATTTTATTCTATTATTTTACTTGCAATGTGTGATGCCAATTACTGTTTTACCTATGTAAATGTAGGGGCTTGTGGCAGCGAAGCAGACGCTAATGTGTTCAAGAAAAGTTCGTTATTTCATAGACTTAAACGAGATGATCTATATTTGCCACCTCCAAAATTATTACCAGGCACATCTATCAACCCACAGCCACATGTCATTGTAGGAGACGCAGCTTTTTGGAATTTCCAATACTATACTTCGCCCATACGCGCGTACAAATTTGACACACAAAAAAAAATATTTAATTACAGGTTAAGTCGTGCACGCCGATACATAGAATCGAGTTTTGGTATATTGACAAACAAATTTGCAATATTCCAAAGATCTATCAATGTATCAACATCATTTGCACAAATTTTAATCAAAGCGTGCTGCATTTTACACAATTTCATTAGAGTACGCGATGGTTATACGGAAGAAGACGCTATGATTGTAGCTGGATTTACAGATTGCAATGCTCGCATTAATGACAGTACACGATCGGGCAATACAATAAGAGATAATTTTGCAAATTACTTTGTCTCAAATGAAGGATCTGTACCTTGGCAAAATAGTTATATTTATTAGATAACACAGATGTTTCAATAAACATTACTTACCGATTTGTTTTTTTTCTTCACCTGAACTATCTCCGAAATTCGGACAAACAGCTTCGCAAACATCTTTCCATGCCTTTAATTTCGCGTCTTTATTTTTATATGAATTGTCGCGGAGATTCCAAAGACATGGTCGAAGTCGTACTTCTTGTATAACCCTCTCGGTTTGCACATTTGACGCAGCCGTCATGACAACGACAGTACTTTACGTCCGCTCTGCGCAACTGTCCGCCGAGAACTGAACAAATACATTAAAACCAAGCACCGTCCGCCCGCGGACATCCGCGGCGCGGAGGAGCGGCGCGGAGCGATTTCGACCGCGCGCGGATAGCTCTCCGCGACGCGGACAGCTCCGTGTCGCTCTGAACGCGCTGTAAGGTTTCATACATTTTACCGTCCGTCGCGGACGTCCGCGTAGGTCATCCGCGTCGCACTGAAAAGGCCCTTATTCGCTCGGAAGCTATCCGCTGGGGTTGTTCCGTCACGCAAATAAATCAAAATGGTTCACACTACATGGACATGGTAAAAAACTGTACGTTATACTATAGGTATGTCCTAAAAATAAATGTTTGTCTGTGTGCTATTGATGTGTGTCTACTACATAGCGTGAAGGTAATTTTTTTTATTACCTTCGGTTGGCTTTCGGACTTAGGCTCACGGTTCAACAAACAAGAACGTTGAACACTTTGTAAACAAAAGTATTAAGCCGTTGGAATTCAGCAATACACGGGCACGGGTCAATAAACCCGCATAACAGTAGCGAGTGAGGGCTGCCACCCCCATTTAAATAATTGTGTTCATATGAACAGCTCTGCCGGTGACAATAAATTGCGGTCAGCATGTTTTTCAAACATCGCTTGGGGCTTTCAGACGCAGCGAAAGGCTTCAATAATAATCCATATGAACCGCTTAGTTGGTCGTTTATTGCTTTTTATAATTCCAATTTGTTTATTGTATTTTCAAAAATTAAAAAGGGATTGAAATATATCGTGGTAAGAATTACCACACATGCATTGTTCATGTACTGTGATGATTCTTGTAAGTATACTTAATGATGAACAATAAATTAATAATCATTAATGTACTGTATTATCGAATCGAAAACTTAATCTGCAATACATCAACAGTGTAGTGGCGGTTGAGAATATCCACTACCCCATATCTTCCCGTGGGTGTCGTAAAAGGCGACAGAGGGAAACAGGCAGGAGATGGGCAGCAGCATCTTCCTGATAACAACTGTGACGTAATAAAAAACTGCGGTTGCCAACCCGCTCGCCAAGCGTGGCAACTATGGCAAATACCCCCCAATGAATAAATACACAAACAGACGGCCCCCAGTCCCCGGCGGCCCCGCTATTCCTGGCTACGGTGGCGACCATGGTAACGGCGGGGCAGGGGGTGCTAAGAATCTCCGGTGGAGGTTCGGTTGCCACCTACGACGACTCGACCTGGCAACATATAACGCACGCACCCTGAGGACTGACGAGAAGATACTAGAGCTGGAAGAAGAGGTAGACAAGTTGCGCTGGCATATTATTGGATTATCCGAGGTCCGAAGAGAGGGGGAGGACACGGCAATCCTCGAGTCAGGCAACTTGTTCTATCACCGGGAGGGCGACCATCTGTCCCAAGGTGTCGGATTTATCGTCCACAAGTCACTCGTCAACAACGTTGTAAAGATTGGGAGTGTGTCGACGAGGGTCGCGTACCTGATACTCAGAATCACCAAACGGTATTCGCTGAAGGTCATTCAGGTTTACGCACCAACCTCGGCACATCCCGATGAGGAGGTGGAGGAAATGTATGAGGATATTTCCAGAGCCATACATTCCTCCAAAATCCACTACACGGTGTTGATGGGAGACTTCAACGCAAAACTAGGCACAAGAGAAAGCGGTGAGCTGAAGGTAGGGAAATTTGGAGTAGGGCAACGGAACCGAAGGGGCCAGCAGCTGGCCGACTTTATGGAGAAAGAGGGACTCTTTATGATGAACTCTTTCTTCCAGAAGCGGCCCCACAGGAAGTGGACCTGGTCGAGCCCCGACGGTTCGACAAAAAAATGAGATTGACTTCATTATGACGACCAGACGCCAACTGTTCAGTGATGTCTCAGTGATCGCAAGGGTGAAAACTGGCAGCGATCACCGAATGGTTAGAGGCACACTGAACCTAAACGTTAAGTTGGAGAGGTCTCGTCTAATGAAGTCAACGCTCCGTCCCCCCTCGTGCTCTAATCCAGAATCCCGAAACCTTTCAGCTCGAGTTACGTAACTGCTTCCAGTGCCTAGAAGATTGCAATGCAGTGGACGATATGAACGACAAGCTCGTGGAAACTGTCCATGCGGTCGGAGCTAAGTTCTGCAAGACCCGCCGCAGAAGAACACAAAAACTCTCCGATCACACTCTTAATCTCATGGCTGTTAGACGGGAGATGAGGCTGCAATCGTCAACAGATTTGACAGCATACAGGCAACTGAACAGACAGATCTCCAAATGCATGCGGCGAGACTTACGCAACTTTAATACTTCTCGTATTAAAGAAGCGATCGAGCGGAACCAGGGCTCCAAAGTCTTTGCCAGAGATCTGTCTGCCAGAAAGAGCCAACTGTCAAAGCTGAAGACTGAGTGTGGCAACATCGTTTCCGGGACACCTGAGATTTTGAGTGAGATTGAGAGGTTCTATGGGCAGCTGTACACATCATCGTTGGAGCCACACGTAAGTGTGAGTAACGATCCAAGAGCAAGTCTTATCCGACACTATTCCGATGATATCCCGGACGTCAGTCTGAGCGAGATTAGAATGGCTCTCCACCACCTTAAAAACGGCAAGGCCCCGGGCGAGGATGGAATTACAGCGGAGCTTCTGAAAGCGGGTGGAAAACCGGTACTTGAAGTCCTTCGGAAGCTCTTCAATTCCGTCCTCCATGGTGGCACTACTCCGGAGGCGTGGAGCAGAAGCGCGGTGGTTTTGTTCTTTAAGAAAGGCGACAACGCTCTCTTGAAGAACTACAGACCGATTTCCCTTCTGAGCCGCGTCTACATGCTATTTTCGAGAGTCATTACGAATCGTCTCGCACGCAGACTCGACGACTTCCAGCCTCCCGAACAAGCCGGTTTCCGAAAAGGCTTCAGTACCATAGACCACATACATACCCTGCGGCAGATTGTACAGAAGACCGAAGAGTACAATCTGCCACTTTGCCTGGCATATGTGGACTATGAGAAAGCCTTTGATTCCGTCGAAATTTGGGCGGTGCTACAGTCCCTTCAGCGGTGCCAAGTTGACTGTCGGTACATCGAAGTGCAGAAGTGTTTGTACAGTAGGGCTACGATGGCTATCCGAGTACAGAACCAGAGTTCGAAACCTATCCAACTGCAGAGAGGTGTAAGACAGGGTGATGTTATATCCCCGAAACTCTTCACCGCTGCGTTGGAAGACGTTTTCAAGCTACTGGACTGGAAAGGATACGGTATTAACATCAATGGCGAGTACATCACTCACCTTCGATTTGCCGACGATATAGTCATTATGGCAGAATCGCTGGAGGACTTAAGCATTATGCTCAATGACCTCAATAGTGCCTCCCAACGGATAGGTCTTAAGATGAACATGGACAAAACAAAGATCATGTTTAATGTCCATGTCACACCTATGCCGGTAGTTGTTGGGAGCACTATGCTCGAAGTTGTTGACGAGTACGTTTACCTGGGACAAATAGTCCGACTAGGTAAGTCCAACTTCGACCGAGAGGTCAATCGACGGATTCAACTCGGCTGGGCAGCGTTCGGGAAATTACGACATATCTTTTCGTCAGGTATACCTCAATCTCTAAAAACTAGATTGTACAACCAGTGCGTGTTGCCAGTGATGACTTACGGATCTGAGACGTGGTCCTTCACTGCTGGCCGAATGAGGACGCTTAAGGTCGCTCAGCGAGCTATGGAGAGGGCTATGCTTGGAGTTTCTCTGCGTGATAGACTCAGAAATGAGGATATCCGCAGTAAAACCAGAGTGATCGACATAGCCCAACGGATTAGTAAGCTGAAGTGGCAATGGGCCGGCCATATAGCTCGAAGAACCGATAACCGATGGGGAAGAAAGGTTCTCGAGTGGCAGCCTCGTACCGGTAGGCGTAGTGTAGGGCGACCCCCCACTAGATGGAGTGACGACCTGGTAAGACATGCAGGAAGTCGATGGATGCAGGTGGCTCAGGACCGTGCTTTGTGGCATTACTTGGGGGAGGCCTATGTTCAGCAGTGGACTTGTGAAGGGCTGTAATGATGATGATGAATGATGACATCAACATGCCCGCGATCGTCCCCACTACTACATCACATTTGACGAACAAAGTTCCTCCCGATCAAACACAGATTACCAAGACCAATGATGATTGAAATTCCGGTCCAGTCTATTGAAATTAAAGAAAACGTATTTTAATAGAGAAGATCGCTGGATTTTACTATCTGCTTAGAGTCCCATATTTAACAAATTAAATCTAAGCCCGAGTGAGTTCTGCAATATTTCAAGATACTGTAACCTCCTTTTGCAAAGATCGGACCAAAGATTAATATTTAAAAGTTAAGCCCTTGTTAACTATCACATTAGGACGTCAAACACCTCAGCCCTCCCTTTAGAATGAAAAACTAAAATCTGTGTAATTAGTTTCATATAATTCTAATGTTTCTTTTACAAGTTCGAGAAAAATAAAGCGTTTATTTTATATTTTTCAACTACTGGACGACCACGAGCTTACTAAGCACAGGGTCACGAAGTGCTCTAGTAGATCCAATATGGTTTGGTTAGTATGCTAATTTATATGAAGCTCGTGTCGACGCGAAGAGTCCTTAAAGTCGTATCGAACTGTAATATCCTTTGCAATGTTCAGCGAACTCGCGCCTAAGGACCAATGTTTATGGCACTTTCACTTGAGCAAAACTTGTTTGTTCATGTTTGTCCCTTGTTTTCAAGCTTATACGATGGAGTTTAAAATCTTACACAAAGTAGGAAATCTCATAAGGACACAACTATAGGTCGATTTCAAGCGAGTTGGTTTCCAGCAAATGGTTTCCAACACTTTGTAAAATATAAAATTTTATTGTTATTATAATTATGTTTAAATCAATCTTTTGTATTGTTTTACCACACCAATCGATCGGTAATCGATCGATGCCATCGTCCATGGTGGAATG